AGGAGAGAAAGAAAGAGAGAGAGAGAGGGGGGGGGAGAAAGAAAAAGAGAAGAAAGAGACACAGAGAGAGAGAGAGAGAGAGAGATAGAGAGAGAGAGAGAGAGAGAGAGAGAGAGAGAGAATACCTCCCATTAATATGCATGCATTAGCACGCAGGTAAGACAGGCTAGAATCTATGTGCGTCATGTGGAAAAGAGCATGCAGGTACGAACAACAAGCTCTGTAATTCCAAAGAGTATCATCATAGAGGCCTAGACAGACCTAGATCTAGATCTAGGATATAAGTCTTGAACAGATTTTCACACGTGGGGTAGCGATGAATGGATAGGTGAATGGATAGGTGGATGGATGGATAGTTGGAAGGAGGGAGGGAGGGGAGGGGAGGGGTGGATGAAGGGGTGGATGGAGGGATGGATGGGTGGATGGAGGGATGGATGAAAGGATGGATGGTTGGATGGTTGGATGGTTGGAGGGAGGGGGAAGGGAAAAAGGGGTTAGGGGCGGATGGGTGGACGAATGGTTGGAGGGAGGGGTAAGGGAGGCAGGGAGGGAGGGCCGGGGTGGATGGGTGGATGGGTGGGTGGGTGGATGGATGGATGGATGAATGGGTGGATGGTTGGATGGTTGGATGGTTGGAGGAAGGGGAAAGGGAGGGGTGGATATATGGATGAATGGATGGATGGATGGATGGATGGGAGGATGGTTGGATAGTATAGTTGGAGGGAGGGGAAAGGGAGGGAGGGAGATATTAATCTAGAATCTAGATCTAGTGTTAGGGTTAGGGTATGGGCTAGGGTTAGGGGTTGGGTTAGGGGTAGAATCAAGGGGTAGATTTCTAGATCTATAATAGGGTAAAAGTCTCTTCTTTATAAACAATGCCAAAACAATTTCGTATGTGTTCGGGTGCATGGTCGCTCGTAACGGAAGTCCTTTCTCATACTCTTTGATTACAACACAAAGCTCTGCACAAACTTTTCAACATCATAGACACAACTTTTCAAAAGGAGAAATTCAAAACTTTTATCTCACCTGAGCTGTTTACCGCTTGTTGTTAGTCTATCAACTTTGCAAACTTTTCTGCAGTTAGAAAAGTTACCGAGTCGTCTACTTTCACTTTTAAAATCCTCGCTCTGATCCCTGCAGAAAACCTCAAACTCCAACAATCCAATCACGAATGAAAGATCCGTGTTGTAAATATCCAACGTTTTACACGACGTCCCCCAAACGGAAATCAAACAACACACGGTCCCAGAAAAATAAAATCAAGAGTCGATCTGACACTTATTTCTTCCTTGAATGAATGAACGAACACACCTCTCTCTCTCCCCCTCTCTCTGAACTCTCTCTCTCTCTCTCCGCAGACATCAACACATCAGCCAGTTTATCTGTCGCGAAAGCGGCACAGACAGAGAAGAAGAAGACACACATCAGCAGCACACAGTGTTTTCGTCTCTCCTCCTCTCGTCGTCGTCTGCTAGATCTAGCCTTCTCTGCTACAAGGCAAGGGCAAGCGGATAGCGGTCTCGGCAAGGGAAGTAAGTGCGGGGCAGCAGAGCTTGTCGGCGCGTTCCAACACGACTCGTGATTGGCTGGAGCCCTCGCGCCCCGCTCGTGGGGGGAGGAGACTGCTAGCTCTCGCTCGTGGAGGGGGAAAGTTAAAAAAGAAGGAGAGAAAAAAAAGAAGGAGAGGGGGAAAAAAGAAGTTAACTAGTGAGGTAGGTGGGAAAAAGGGGGAGAGGGGTGTGTGGAGGGGGAGGAGGTACATGAAGTTAAATTGTGTAAGTAAGATACGCACTTATCCGGTCAGTCAGGTTTGCATGATCGAGAAAGAAAGAAAGAAAAATAGAAGTTAACTAGTAAGGGAGGTGGAAAGGCCGGGGG